AAACTGAATAACAAATCTCAACTAATTACTAAGCATGTGCTATATCAAGGAAATACGCTACGGGTTGAGTTTTATCCACTACTTACTCAGGAGCTGATGCCTCTGAAATACCTAAGGCATCTGCCATGGGACACATGATCTGACTTCAGAATGGTGAACTACTGGCAAAGTTCAAAGCACAGTTAAGTACAATCTTCCCTCCATATATACTTTAGTCAAATTCCTAGGAAAATTCAGTGCATATTTGAACTTTATAAAATAAACTTGGTAGTCCAATTATGTTTTAGGTTTATATAACTACAAAGAAGGCGTTTCGCCTCCACACCAGTCCTGCAGAACACAGAACCAGGCTGCGTTGTTTGCGAAGGCTGTCCCACAAGCTCCCCATGGTGAAATCCACCGCTCTCCACGGTGAGAGTCACTCGCCATGGGTGAAGTGCTCTCCCCCTCATTCTTTTTACCAAGGACGCTTAGTTGAATTTATCTAGATAGATATTGGACAATAAAGTCCATGAAATGGCTTATCTTTATTACTAGATCATTCGCAAACCTATGCCTGATTCATCGTGTAAAGACGACTTGTTAACTATTAATTAACCGAGTAAAATAATTACTTCTGTCCCAGGAGGAGCTAAGGGTTAGGAGGTGTGAGAAGGAACGACGGAAACCTCACTCAGCTGACACGGGAAGGCCCGAGGGGGTGCCCACACGCCACCGCCCGCCCCAGCTGCCTGCTGCCACCGTGAACGCCTGCTTTCCTTCATGAGACTTGGTTCAGAGCCCCCTCCCGGCTGCCCCTTTTCTCTCCTATGTGCTGTGGACCTGGCTCTGGTGTGTCACAGCCTTCATGTCCCAAACTGCAATTCCTCTGCCATTTCTAAATAAACTCAGGTTTGCTGGTAAAATAACTTTTATTTTTAACATTCACAGAGGCCTTGCAAGCCCTATCATTAAATTCCAACCCCTTGAGGGCTGTCCCAGACAGGCCCAGGGAAGTGCTAGAGCCACCCCGGACAGTTCTGGCCACTGAGCACGTAGTGACGACAACCTATTTTCCCACCAGGGACATGTTGTAGATTAAAAAGTAGGCTTATGCAAGTAAAAATTACAACATAATTATAACTATAAAACTTAACAAAATAGCTGCCAGTTTGCTGAGTCTGATGAAGAAACTCATCACATTTACTGAGAAAGTGCAACCACACATTTCAGATGTTAAAGAAATTAGACTAAAGGGAGAACTTCTACAAGCTTGCTTGTCTTCAGATTTTTATAGGTTCTCTTGACTGGAAACGTGCACGTGGCTAGAAAAAGTTCCTTTAGCGAAAGGAACCTTTATCTCATGCTTGCTCTGTTTTTCTATATTTCATATGAAATTCTTAACCGGTTTAACTTGAACTTAAGAAACAGGATGCAGGTGTACCAAAAAGTTTAAAGTACATTCTGATTAAGTACACAGGTCCCTTTTTATTAGTTTTCAGGAATCTCTCTGCTGTATAAACACTTGCCCCACACCCAGTAGAGTTAATCAACAATCTGCTCGGAAGTCAGAGGCACCAGTCAATACTGAAGGTTTCCCCACCAGCCAGCAGGTGATCTATGGAGCTCTCTTAATAATCAAGATCCACCATGAATCCAGTGGGACATCAAAAAGAGTCCAATCAAAAGAACTGGCAAAAAAAATAATTGTTTTATCCTTCCTGGAGAAAAAGCAGGAAACATGGCTGAAACATCTTTGTGTTCCTAACATTTTAATGAGCTCTGCCTAACTGCAAATGTTGGCACACAGTAGTTGATCAATATGTATTTGTTGAATAGATGAGTCAAGTGAAAACATAAACATCCACTGACACGTCTATGAATGATTTCTGGGTCTGCTGTCCCCAGAGTAGAAGAAAACCCCTCCGTCCCTCCAGCAGTGCCCGGTATCCTAATGATGAGGGACAGAGCCTAAGGACTTAGGTAATCTTGTGCTAATTTCCAGCTGGACTCCTCCTCATCACATTAGCTACTCTTTGGGGTAACTATGACAACTCTAAGCATGGCTCCCGTCTTCCAATGGGCATTACAAGAATGAAACTATGATGAGCGAAAAGGCCACATCTGTAACACGTCGGGTAGGCCAGCGTCCGTCCTGACTCAGTGTGTGCTCAGTGACGGCTCCACAGTCCAGGCCAGTAACAGGAACTGCTGATAAGCACTGATCCACTGAAGTCGACTTCCGCTTGTTTAAGAGAAGTTACTGTAAGAAGGCACTTAAGCATGACACTGCTTCTACAGAGCAGTGAGCATGCAGTGTGGGTGGGTGAGGACGAAACGCCAGAACCACCCAGGTTTGAGCCCTCCCCTTCACTTCGGGGAGAACCGAGAATGTCAAAGCTCGAGGACTTAGGCTTCTCATTTACAAAATGTCCAACATTCCTTCTAACATTCCTAGGAACATCACGCACACTCCTAAAAACAGTCATGGGATTCCTAAACTACATGTCATCAGCTACACTAAAAACGTAATGGGAAAAAATTAAAAATATTAGAGGGCTTGGCGCTAAACTTAAAAAGATACCATGAGCAGCCAGCTGGCCGTGGAACGCAACCACTTCTGTCTTGTCCTCTGCCTCCCAGCCCCGCACCACACCACCTCCCAGCACCGGCCCCCCGCCCCCCGTACCCACTCTGCTGTCATGCTCAGGCCCAGGGGGCAGACAGGCTGCGTGGCTTTCAGAGGGTTTAAAAGATGCTTCAAGGAAGATGAAAAGTGGGCATCTGTTTGTAAAACTGTTTAACCCATGTTCAGGGTAAGGAGGCCTGTACTTGTTCAGTACGTGTCTGCAGGAGCTGTCTGAAATAAATTTTCAAGGAAAACACCATTCTTGGCTTATCAATCAACCAGTTCAGTGGGTCTTCTCCACTCGGCCACACCCCCAGGGCCCTCGCCAGCTGTGCCTCCACTACCTCACAGAGGCTGGTCACGTGGCACAGTTTCAGCGACTAGCCCAAGGTGTGGTGGGTGGCGTTTGGAACTGCATCCTGTTGCTGAAACTTCCTGAACTTGAGAAGTTACTTCAACATGTGACAGAGGAAAAGAAATAGACAAAAAGAACTATTACAAGTACAGCGAAGAAAAGACATTAAAGTGGCTGGAAAAATAGGTTAATCAGACTACGGCAGCATTAAAAAACAGTCATATAAATACTGGTGCTCAGACAGAATCGACCGCATTGTTCTCTGGCCACCAGATTCCCAGGGACCAGGAGGAGGACTACGTTCACCGTGCCCATGATCTGACGCTTGATCACAACTGTAAAGAATTAAGTAATGCCTTAGCTAAATGCTCAAACCTTCCAGACCCTTCGGTTTCACTGCCAAACTTTCCATCAAAGAACGTTATCGGACAAGCCTAGAGAAGCAAAAGATGCACCAGGTTTAATACTAAAAACCTGAAGACTGAAAAGAGTAACAGCAAAATGACTGCAGCTCAGAAGGCTTTGGCTAAAGTTGAGAAGACTAGAATTAAAAGTGTTGATTCCTTTTTTGGTGCAAAAAAAAAATTTTTTAAAGTTGGAAAGATTTAAAACTTTGGATTTGAAATCCAGCAAAATTATTTGCCTTTTACAGGTCCTATTTTTGTCCTTCCTCCATGTCACTGTACTTCCTGGCCCTCAATCACCATTCTTTGACATTGAAACAACAACACGGTTTTCAGATTCAAACATTTCTTTATATTTGAATTTTATGTTTCTGGAAAAAATATGGAAAAGTGTGTAACTAAATGGCTTGTAGACTGTGGCATCTTTTTTGATACTGAAAAGTCATCAAGTGACTAGAACTAATCTCTAACATCTCAATTTCCTCAATAAACTAACATGTGACAATAAAAAATAGATAAAACGTAAATCTCTATTTGAAGTAACAGATATTACTGGGGAAGATAGGCAGGATCAAGAGTATATATAACCACAAACATAGAGCTTCAGTTCCGTAACTATAAACTTCTAGGAGTTAATGTCTGGAAAAAAAAAACCTGGTTAATTCAAGATATTAAAGAAAAAAGAAAGCACAACACCCCGATATTCTTCAGAGGAAAAAAAAGAAAGAAGGTGCCCATGAGACTACACATACAAAGAAATATTTGAGTATCTAGCGCTTACTAAAAAATCTGCTTCAGAGCAAGATACTGGCCTATCCTGAAGTATTAGGATAAGCAAATATGATTAGTAAAACCTAATTACCCACCAAGAACATCCTGTACAAGTGTGCTGTACTACTATTTCATTCTGTTGAATTCTGGTGTACATGTAATTTTAAAGAAAGGAAAAAATAAAAAATGAATTCCCGTATTAAAAGTGCTTAAAAATAAAGTTTTGCTGCCTTCAAGAACATTAGAAACTACAAAAGGGGAAAGAAAAAGGGGGTGAGCCGTGTCACATCGTGTGTCAGTAAAGCAACCTAAGGCAGCTGATTTATTCAAACTCCAGAAAATGGGGGGCTCGCAGGGGGACACCTAAGTTACAGACAAAAGAAAATGGCCCCTGAGTCTTAATTAGGTATTAGTAAAAGTGAGGCAACTTGAGAAAAAAAGAAAACTTCAAGGGAGGGAATGCACTGAAGGGGTTAAATCAGATCAAGTTATAGATGAAAGCTTATATTGCTTGTGTCCTATAAAACCATGTAAAAAACATGAAAATCAACATCTAACACTAAAAAGACTTAGAAACCTGTGCTTTAAGCATTCAGTAAAGAAGAAAATAAGATGCAAAAAATAAAATCATAACCATTCATTTCATAATCATCTCATTTTCTTATTATTCACTCATCGCTACCCTTGCACTGAATATATATCCCATGGAAGCAAGATCCCTAAGCTTCTCCCTACCTTGGGTTTTCAGTCCAAATTAATGCAAACAATCACGTGGGACTCAGCCAAGCAGTGACGTTAAATTCTGCTCTGTCAGAGGGAACATCTGTCAAGCCCAGATTTAAACTGCTGCCTGCCTGTGCAGCAGCTGAGGAAGCGTGGATTTCACATTATAGACTCAAGCCCAGGAAAACTGCTCAGAAGCCTCCCTGCAGCTGTCAGGCAGCCACAGAGGAGAGAGCAGCCCGTTCGCTTCCAGCCCAGTCGAAGCTCTCCATTCCAGCTCTGGCGGCTCCCACTGCAGGTCCGCGTCGTTCCTAGAAATATGGACACTGAGCAGAGAATGCAGCTCTGCATTGTCCGGCCAGGCAATCGGCCGATATAAGGAGCTTCCACACATCAGCTGCTGGAAGAGTCACCACTGCTCCCACCAGAACGGACGACTGCAGCTCTTTTGTTTCAAACCAGAGAAAATGAAAGAAAGAGAAAGCCTCAGCAGACCAGCACCCGCATGAAAGAGGAGGGTGCCGGGAAGGCAGACAGACAGATGGACACTGTGGACCCCGTAAAAGCAGGCACAGGAGGCAGCCCACTGGGGATGTGCGCATGTTCGAGGGCATCTTTTTGCGGAAGGGATGGCAAGCTGAAAGTATGGTCCACGGGCATAGCCCTCTCCACATGGATGGCCTGACCGAGAAAGGTATGTGGCTGCCTTGTGTGCGGTGTGCGTTGAATGTCTGCTCCCTGCCCACTGTGGCCCTGGAGGCACTCGGGTCTGATAAACAAGTTCCCGCAGCTCTCTGCCCTTGAAACTGCGAGAGGCTTTCGGAACGTATTATCTAAAATGTGTCATTGTGTAGAGCACAGGCTGTCACTGCTTCATGCCAGTAACCGACCATGTAGCTTGGAGTAATTACAGATTATAGGCATACAGCAGAGAAAAAGCAAATAGTAACAAGATGTGCTTAAAGGATTCTCTGAGAAATTAAAACTTAAAAAAAAAATCTGCAGCCCTCTAAAGAAAACATAGCAAGCCTCTACCAAATTAGGTCAAACTGAATCCTTACCTAGTAAACTACAGCACTCCCTTAAAAATGGCTATCAAGAGAGACAATGCAGTGAAATTACATTAAGTAATATCAAAGAGGATCTTAACAGCAAGAGCTTCTTTCAGTCCTTTTAAAAAAAAATCTTAATATAGAGCAGCTTTTAATAACAAAGTCTTCCCTCCAAATCCATCTCCCCAAAGAGAGATAAAGAACACAACCCAGGAGAGTATCCACAAATTTTAAGTATTACCGAGCGATAAGAGACTGAAAGGGAAGCATTTGCATAGGCTCACAGAAGGCGTGAGTTACGCACAGCACATCGCAGTGAATACATGTCACAGTGTTCAGGGAGACAACTTTAAACAAAGAAATAGCAATAGTTGCTGAAAAGGCCCCCCCCCCCCCCCCCAATTTAAAACAGCGAGCTTTAATTTTAAGCAACAGACTGCTTCTAAAAGATCACATATAAGGCTCTTGTTCTTGGTGATCATTTTTGAAATTTAAAAACATAATACGAAAACACTTTGATATCAAAATATCCATAAATAGCACTACAAGGTCAAAAATGAAACATAAATATAGCCGCTGTGCTTTCAGGCTATATTATACGTAGTGATGAACTACTGCCATGGTGTGTATATGCAGGGCAGGAATAAATCTAATAAACTATTTTAGCAACAATCATAGTTGTAATAGCAGTTCATGGTTCAGGAGTTCAAGGATATTTCAAAATGTTTTAATAAATGTTATCAAAGACCTTAATTTTTGCTCAATTTCACAGCAAAACTCAATAACCTATTATTTCATAATCTTAAAAGGCAAACATTTTAAAGACATGTGTAAGCATGCCATTCTAAAATTAAGATTAAACAAGTTTTATCAGGCCCTATTATTATAATATTTCAGCATCAACTCTCATTCACAGCATGAGTTTTTATCCCATTTAAGAATGAAATCAGGAGGTTTTAAAAATATGTGGTTGTAAAAAATCTCAAGCCTTTCCTAGTGCCTTTATCTCTCAATGTTAAAGTTACCAATTAAACATCTTTATAAGCTAGGTATCTCAACCCAAAAGTGTAGAATTTTTCATTTAAGCACCACTGAAATCTAGGACTGTTTCAACAAACTAAAGATATCAATAAACACTTTTAAAAGCCAAATGATAAAAACAGTACGTGTGTGTGTGTGTGTGTGTGTACTAACTGAACATTTACAGTAATGTTCTCTCCATGAACTTTAATCCATAAGACATGAATACACATTAATAACTTGAAAATATCATAAAAAACAGAGAGGATAAATCAGAGCTATTCCTACACTGAAAATCTAAAGTGCAAAGCTATTTTAGCACACCAAGCTATTTTAACTTTATTGTCTGGTTCCCACTTTTTAAGGAAAATACACAAAAGAAAAAACTCAAGAATAATTTTACCATGTAATAAAAGGCTGTAATTTTATTTTTAACAAAGTAATTATAATACCTGAGAAACTTTATCAACAGAGCCTTTTTTAAGGCTGGACACATGCACTTTTATCAATGGGAGAATAACAAATGGAGGTAAATAATTTCAAGCCCGAGCAGCTTAGTATTTTACAGGCACACAAACACCGTGAATTTAAATTAAGATGCCCCTCTGTCACCCGTTGCTACAAACGCAGGGATCCATAAACCATGCAGTTACCCCGGGCCCTGATGTATACTGCTCTGCTGTTTTCTCTAGCACCGACATACTTCAGCCGCGTTGTGTTCGCAAACACATCACAATTTATTACTGTTTTTATCCTCACTCACCTCGTCCACCCTCTAGGCACACAACCACCCAAACAGCTGACCTCACATGTATTGTTCTTGGACTATCACATTTAAACTTTTAAAAAAAATTTCAACGATTTGGACTTCAATCAGGTTCCAAGCATGACTATATCAACAGAAAGCTAATGCATTTTAATCTAGCTTTGGAATGTTTAAAATAGATTATCAAATAAATTGTAAAGGCAATTTTTCTTTCTTTTCAATGTATACCCATCGACCTTATATCTACTGGTTTCTTTATGGGATGGGGGAAGAACCATTACTATTCATCAAATATTTCATTTTAAAATAAAAGCTTAGGAAGACTTTCCCAGTCTAAACAGACTGACCAACTATTCACAGAACAAGGAGGGAAAAAGTGAGTTTCTAAATCAGAACAGTCAGCTCTATTATTTTCAGCTTAGCTCACTGCAGAACTATGTTTTACTGATAAAAGGAGCAGCCTTGGTCTTCAGCATAGTAATGTAAGATTAAAATTCATATAAATAAACTCTAATAATTAGCAAGCTATTTTTAAAACTCCCAAACTGAAAAAGAATCAGTTTATATCTCACAAAATGATTAAATATTTTTCTACACTGAGAAATACCATTACTTCTAAAAGTACTATATAATTTCAGATACTAGAAATTATCAAAAGCTGGTGCCTGTACTATGACACTTTAGAAATTTGTTCTAATTCCCAGCTACTTGCTCCCCCTAGTGGCTATTACTAGAAGCACTTTCATTCATATACATGTCAACACTTTCAATCAGTATTTTCAAAGTACTTCACATTATATATATGAAATTTTTACTCTATAATTATTGTTACATAAATAATTTAATTATTTCCTCAAAAATAATTAAGTATCATGTCAGAGTTGAGCAAATTTAGTGTTAACCATGAATCTCTCAATATCACAGGCTAAATGAATACACATGTATGTATGTATGTACGTATGTATTATAATTATAAATAAATGGCCCTACATTAAATTGACTAATTTTATTTTGCTTAAAGAAGTTACACAATAAAAAGTTGAAAGAAGTTAAAATTACATATTTATGAATCTTCTCAAAAAGAATGGAAGCTACAGCTCCTTTATCCATCTCCACCCTCACTCCTTGATCCAGAAAAACTAAGAGGCTGAAAACCATGAACAAATCAGTGCTGAGCACTGAGAAACCTTGTTCAAAGATCACACGCAGCCTGTTCTTAATGTGCAGCATCATGAACCTTCCATAGTGACATCTCCTAATCTTTTAAAAAATCTAGGGCTCTAAATGTCATGCTAGGAAAAGTCCTAAAAATGTAACAAATTCTCTACATGCAAATTGAGACTACGGCATAACTTCAGAGTCTTTAAAAATACATTTTGTGAAATTTAAAATTTTAAGAACAGTTGGATACGACAGTGACTAGCGCCTCTATTTTGTACATCTGAAGAGACTGCACAACGTAGTTTTCTTTGATTTTAACACGGAGACTAACTGGGACATAAGGTAAGTGTCTGCCAAGGCCACAGATAATTAAAGATATTTATTTGTGTGCACGCGCGCTCTCCCCCCTCCCTCCACATGCATATTTCTAAATCAGTCTTGAGTCTAAGTAAGGATAAAGATCTCCTGAATACTTCGTATTTGAAATACAAGGTTAAAAATTAAAAAAAAAGAGTACTTGACAACGCTCATCATTTATTACTGTCTTAAAATCTTGGACTGAAGTTACTGGACCCTGAAAATTAATTTTGACAGGTGCATCTTCTCATTGACTTTCTCAGCACAGCAGGGGCCAATGGAAACATGGCAGGCAGCGCAGTGTGACTAACAGAACTCTGCCATCGTCACCTCGCCCTGTCTGTCCCACAGCTGACACATGACCGTTTCACAGAGAAGGCTGCTGAGTGTGCACACCCCACCAATGGTGTGTCAAATCAATTTTAATTAATGCCAGTAAGTCTTCCACCTGCCTCAAGCCTTCTTACATGGCCTCTCTCCAAAGCCCAGTAACATTTTCTCTTGCAGAAGCATCCAACTTTAATTCTTTAACTTAGGTCCCACGTACACATGGCCAGAGCGATTGAGACAGCGAGGTGGGAGGATGCTGAGCATTCTGTAAACCTGTGTGCTTTACCTTTACAGAATGACTGCGAGGACGACAACGTAACTGAACTAGAAGATGATTACCAAAGAGCAGTGCTGAGCCCGCGGAGGAAACCAGCCGTTCAGCCCGCAGTTATCTCCTCCCATCCCTGTCCCTGTCCCTGTCCCTGGCTGTGTACAACATGCTGCAGTGGAGGCGGCGACACTGCTGCTGGGCCAAGCGGTCTCTGTTCCGGACCCACCTCATTGGCGCCCTCTCCCTGGTGCTGCTTTTTGCCATGTTCTTGTTCTTCAATCACGACTGGCTACCAGGCCGCGCTGGATTCAAAGAAAACCCTGTGACCTATACTTTCCGAGGATTTCGTTCTACAAAAAGCGAGACAAACCACAGCTCTCTTCGGAACATTTGGAAAGAAACAGCTCCTCAAACTCTGAGACCACAAACTGCAACCAACTCCAATAACACAGACCTGTTGCCACAAGGAGTTACAGGGCTGGAGAATACACTCAGTGCCAACGGAAGCATCTACAATGAAAAGGGCACTGGCCATCCGAACTCTTACCACTTCAAATATATTATCAATGAACCTGACAAATGCCAGGACAAAAGCCCTTTTTTAATCCTACTCATAGCAGCAGAACCCGGGCAAACAGAAGCTCGGAGGGCTATACGGCAAACCTGGGGCAACGAAAGTCTAGCCCCTGGTATCCAAACCGCACGCATCTTTTTGTTGGGCCTAAGTGTCAAGCCCCACGGCCACCTTCAACATGCAATACTGGAAGAAAGCAGGCAGTACCATGACATAATCCAACAGGAATATTTAGACACATACTATAACTTGACCATTAAAACACTGATGGGTATGCACTGGGTTGCAACGTACTGCCCACATGTTCCTTACGTTATGAAAACTGACAGCGACATGTTTGTCAACACTGAATATTTAATACATAAGTTACTGAAGCCAGATCTGCCTCCCAGACATAACTATTTTACCGGTTACCTAATGAGAGGATACGCGCCCAACCGAAACAAAGACAGCAAATGGTACATGCCACCAGAGCTCTACCCAAGTGAGCGCTACCCTGTCTTCTGCTCTGGGACTGGTTATGTTTTCTCGGGAGACCTGGCAGAGAAGATATTTAAAGTTTCTTTAAGTATCCGTCGTTTGCACTTGGAGGATGTATACGTAGGCATCTGTCTTGCCAAATTGAGAATTGATCCAGTGCCCCCTCCCAATGAATTTGTGTTCAATCACTGGCGAGTTTCTTATTCAAGCTGTAAATACAGCCACCTAATTACCTCTCATCAGTTCCAGCCTAGTGAACTGATAAAATACTGGAACCATTTACAACAAAATAAGCACAACGCTTGTGCCAACGCACTAAAGGAAAAGGCAGGCAGGTATCGCCACCGTAAACTGCACTAGAAAAGACAACTTTTTTTTTTTCAAAATGTGCAATCTGTAAAATATTGCTAAAAGCATGTACAAAAAAATTAAGATTGACTATACCCATAGGACAAGTTTTAGTTAAAACTCATCACATAAAAGAATTCCAAAAATATTTTTTTAATTTCTGAAAAGGTAATTCTTAAAAATACATTACAGAACAAAAAGGTACCCAGAGAGGATCTAGAAAAAACTGTATACGAGATTCTGTGTATTAACATGCAATAACAAGCATGCATTCATCAACGGCTCAAGGTTTACATTAGGGGCCGATGGGATGTGTCTGCATATATTTTCCACATAAATTTTAATTTAAGAAGTGGAGACAGTCAAAAAAAACCCTTCATTTTAGATTCAGTTTTACATATCAATACATACTTAAATGTAAATAAAACATCACTGTCAATTTTAAGGAAGCTTTGTAATTGTGTGAAGGACAGATTTCAGATTTTCTGGGGTTCTAGAAACTGTATTCTGTGCAATAAGATTTAGTTGAGTTACTCCAGAAACACATTTATAAAGTTCAGATGTTTCAGCAATCTGTCTTCATCTAAGTACTTATTTTTAAAAAACAATTGAGATACTCATTTTCTTTTATTAAGACTCACATATACCGGAGAAGTTATTTTGACATGATGTGATAAAATGTGAAAAATCAATGTGTCTCAGGCTCAAGTTTTTATAAAAACAAAAAAATTAAATGTTTCAAAATAGACAAATTTGTTTTCTCATTGGTGCAAGGGCCACAACGGCATCTGAATGAGTTATTCCACGAGCGCGGTGACCGCACTCCAAAGGAGTACTTCCACTTCACTTCAAGCCTATCTGTAAAAATGCATCACGTTCCTCTCACTAAGCAGAAGTGATGACTTACAGGCACAAAGAGAAAACATTGCTGGAAACAGATAAAGGGGGAAAGGGGACAGCAGCAGCTTCACTCGATCCATTTTTAAGATGCATGTCTGCCGACCGGCAGCACACGGGAGGGTGACTTCCTGGCAGCAGGTATGCGCATGCCCACACCCGATCATTTCTTGGCACCTACTTCTTCCCAAGTGCCAGTTTACAAACCTACAGTTTTTAGTTTGGTAGATGGCAAACGGTCCGCATCACCAATTAAAAATCTTTTGGGGGAAATGGGAGAAAACTACAAATGTTCGATGAACACTTGATTCTAGATGAACAATGTACTCAATGCACTTTTATCAAGCTTTTAATAAAAAGGTAAACAAAAAAAAATCTTTGCTGAGTGTTATGGTACAAATATTTTCACAGTAATTTTGTTTGGTTCCATTGCAAAATTTAAAATCAGGAAATATTAAACCTACTAACTCTAAAATAGTGTTTTTACTTCATACAGCTATGTCAATTTATTGATCTTAAATTAGAATGTTACTTATCCTAATTCTAATAAACGTTTGTGTCTTCTATTCCGAAGATATTGCATCAAAACAGAACTGTAACATTTGATACAGGTCAGAATCACAGAAACTGTACTTATTCTTTAATATGTTGAATTCTATTTGTACTCAACTTATCTCCATTTTCAATTCATTAGTCTAAGTGTTCTATTCGACATAGAGTAATTCTCAAAGGTGAGCTAACACCCCCAGATCTTGGTTTTTCACTTAAACTCCATATATTACAAAAGACTAAAATTAAATCCCAAAATTACTAAATAAAAGTCACACATAAGATGACGATAATACCAAAGTAGGTAAGTCTGATGAAAGACAGAAGGAACCCACCCCTAAGAATAGAGTAATTCTCTCATGTATGCCCCAGCGTTAAAAAAAAAAAAGGGAGAGAGAGAAAAGCAAAGCGTATGTGGAGGCACGTGTGCCCACCCAAGTGTGCACAGAAACAGAACCCTGCGCCATCTGTCCAGCACATTCATGGTCACAGTGCAAGATCTTTAAAAAACAGTATCTCCCCTCCAGGAAACTTCAAGTGTAAAAAGCTGACTTGTGAAGAACAGCTCTTAACAGACAAATAAAATTCTCCTATCTTAGGCATCCATTTAAAATCATTTCCATATCCCTGATATTTTCTTGAAAACTGACGGTAACTGATGATACTCTTGAGCTCTCAAAGAGCACTGGACCAAATAATAGTTTCTTAGTACTGCTGAAAATCCTCATTTTAAAATAAATAATCTATTATTAATTTATATTTGACCTTCTTCCACTGTCAACGATATGCAAGCTGATTTCTTCAGCAAAATAGAAATTTCTATATTATATTTAAAATATTTAAATATTTCATCAAGTATTAACTGTGCCTTACTCATGCCCAGAACTATGTAATTTTTATTACACATGAAAACATAATTTTAAATGACAACACTGCATTTGGTCAAAGAAAAAAAATTACAAAATAATCTGTATTCTCAGTGGCGTACATACTTATGCTAGTTTATTCTGATCAGATTTTAAGTGATGAAATTCTAATTCGAGTGAATAACTTAAATGTGTAACCTCTGCCATGCAGCATAATCATACATAATCTCAACTGCACTATCACTAACATCAATTACCCAAAACCCTTCCGAAAACCGTAACAGTGGCAACACAGCTCCTGACCGACGGAGCCGCACTGTGTGCCCAGCACGGTGTTAAAGCACTTCACGTGTGACACATGATCACCCACACTCACTAGAACCTAACCAAGGACAGGACAGACTCGTACCGCTAGCAAAGCAGCAGGGCGCCCTTTCAAAGGCCACTCTCATGAACACTGCGCTACTCTGCTATAGACATCTCCCACGACAGCTACTGTAAAGTCCAAAGAGCTCAACGTGGCCTGTCCTCTGGTCTCCTACCCTCTGCTGGTCTTCACCCACTGGAGGGGCACCTGACGTTAGGTTACTGCAGTACAGAGAAGGGAAGGGAGAAGAGACCTGCCCTTCAGTTACAGTTCTCCTTTTCGCTGGTGACGTCTGGTGGCCAGAACCCTAGAGAAGCCTAAGCTTTGCTGCTTATCCCTCGCTCCTGTGGGCACCGAGACACATCTGGGAACAACAGGCGTGGCACTTAAAAATTACAACGCGTGCTTCTGCTGAAGCACAACTCACCATTCTTAACAGACAAAGATGCGCCGCATCCATCCGCTCTCCTGGCCACTCACTGTGTGTTGTGATGAGATGGTGGAACCCTCTGACCCAGCAGATTTGGGCTCTCCCACCCCCGGTTTTTACTGCCTAACTTCAAAATCTGACTATTACATTAACATAGATTTAGGAAGCAAAAATAACACCCCCATTTTACACTTTTAACATACCTCGTAGATTATCAGGGTATCATTTAAATATTACTCTCAGAAGTCAGGTTACATCACATACTAAAAAGGGGCATCTTGACTTCAGGAAGAAACCGACCACTGTACGCTCCATCAACACAAACACACACCCTTGTCCAAGCATAACACAACGATAAACCTCACGACTTTCAAGACACAACTTGCTAGTGGAGGAGGGAGAGCATTCTTGTCTCTGCAGGAATGTCTGCCCCACCTCTGCCACAGCAAATGCCTGAGCCAGGGAACGAGGAGAGCTAAAGCAGCTGCCTCCATCTATTCACTTATCTAAGTATTTCAACTTGCAACTGAATTTCGACGGATTCTAAATTTGTATCCCACTTGAGACAGTATCATAAACACCGAAAAAATAAAAACAGGTCAACAGCACGTTAAAATATATATTAATTCAAGTTCAATAACTGTTGAACTGAAATATAACTACAGAAGAGAAAAACATGTATATTTATTTATTATATAACACCCAACAGATCAACTGACTCAAAGAATAAAAAGAACTCAGCAAATCAGTCAAAAGCAAGATTAAAATACTATAACAAGTGTCTTTTCTTAAAATTGTTTAAGTTTGTAGTTTGTGTGAACGGAAATCACTACATGATTAAAGGTATAGAATTCGGGAAAAATGAATCGATAACTAAGAAAATATTTAAAATGATACAAAACTTACTATAAAGCAATTAACAGTTTTGGTTTGTGCAGGCACAAGGATTAGGCAGTTATACTTTTTTAAAAAATTAGATCTGAAAGAGATCCTAACATGTATACTAACCTGGTATCACGAACAAATTAGAATTTGGTATACCATGAGTCAACAGAAAAACTGGCTGATGTCTAAGGTTTAATATTTAGGATTCAGGTTAAGTCCTCGTGCTATTACTTACCTCATGCTATTAAAAAATAAATGAATTCCAAGTTGAGCAAAGTAAGTATAACACTGCACTAACAATTACCAAAGCTGTCATGTGCCAGGTACCATTAAGCATTTTAATGAGGGGGTAAGCGACTATCTTATTGATCACAGAGTATAAAATAAATCATAGAAAAAGAAATCAAGCAGAAAAAGATAAACAAAATACTAACCTCTACATAAACTAATGCCATAAACCAAATTAAAAGCAAAAAAGCGAAACAGAAATTGAGAAAAAAACGTATAAGAATGTTGCTATAAAAAGAATTCCTAGAAGCCACAAACAACAATGAAATAATCCAATAAATAAAATTATTCGGTCTCACTAATCACATAAATTTACTTGAAAACTAGGTCCCTTCTTCATCAAACTGGAAGACAGTTTTTAAAATAATAGTCTATGACAGTTCTGAGAATAAGAACGTCCCCAGTGGCAGTGTAAAGTGGTAAAGTCTTTCTGAAAAACAACTTAAAAATATTTAACAAGAGCCTTTGAACCATCAGCCCACAATTAAAATCTATTATAAGGCAATATTCAAGAAAGTAAAACACAAGGAAAAAAATTTTAACGTTCAAAACAAAAATTAAATAAACTACGGTAGTTAAAATCACAGTCATATAAAACTTGGATTTAGAGACTATTTAATAACACAGAAAACCACTCACATACTGTATTAAGTCTCTCCCCGCCCCCAAAATCAGTATACTATGTAGTATGGTTCATATTCCACAATGATACATATTAAAAAAATAAAAACCCCAAAAATGAATGCTCCGGAAAAAAGAATGGTAACGATTTCTGGGAAATGGAATGTCTGTTTTCTTCTTATACTTTTCAATTTCTCTAGGTTTAAAAAGC